CCAATCCGTCGCAGGCATAAAGCTCGAAGCAAACTCCATTCCAATCGATTGCAAGATATGTGCAGCGGGAAAACTATCGAGCACTCCTTTTTCATCCCGAGGTCGAAGATCCTCCGGTGCACTGGATTTAGTGCACACTGATATATGCGGACCCATGCGAACAGAATCGCAAGGCGGTGCGCGGTACTTCGTCACTTTCATAGACGATCACACTCACTGGTGCGAGGTATACTTCATGCGGAATAAAAGCGACGTTACGGAAAAGTTTAAAGAGTACATGAAATTCGCTGAAAGACATACAGGGCGCAAAATCAAGGCTACTCAATCCGACAACGGCAAGGAATATTGCAACTATACAATGGACGCTCTCTTCAAAGAACACGGAATACGTCATCGTCTGACAGTACCGCATACGCCGCAACAGAACGGCATAGCCGAACGCAAAAATCGAACCTTAGTCGAATCGGCGCGGTGCATGATCATTCAATCGGGATTACCCCCATCCTTTTGGGCCGAGGCTATTTCGTCGGCAAATTACATAAGAAATCGATGCATCACCAAAGGTCTGGAATCAGGAACCCCCTTTGAAAAATGGACCGGGCGACGCCCGAACGTCGCTCACCTGCGAACATTCGGTTGCAAAGTTTTTATTCTAAATAAGTCCCCCAGCAAAGGGAAATTCGACGTTCGAGGTCTGGAAGGTATATTCATCGGATATTCCGAGACATCGAAGGCTTACAGGATCTGGTGCCCGAAAGATCGAAAAGTTCATGTTTCGAGAGATGTCAAATTCTTCCACGAGTATGATACAAAAAATCCCACGGAAGACATCGTGACCCATGAGACCACAAATGACCATTTCAGGATCATAGACGATCTGGAAGCCAACGATGATTCACGCGGGACGCATGTTGAGACGAACGAATCCAAATCAATGGAGGATCATCAGCATATTGAGGAAAGCGATGGAGATGACAAACCGGTCGAATCCCTTAAACGAGGGCGCGGACGACCAAGAGGATCCACCACTCGAAGATGCGTAACTCCGACTAAACAATACAATCTTAGAAGCAATGATCAGAAGAAGACATCGATTCCCGAAGCCATTGAAGTGTCATCGGATGAGGACACTGGACCGCATGAGTCCATGTTCGCTTTTCTTGCAAGTGAAATTCCCTTGTCTCAAGCCATTTCCGGTCCTGATGCCATGGAATGGAAAGACGCCATCTATGACGAAGTGAGGAGCCTCGTGACCAACGACACCTGGGAGCTCGTTGAAAGACCAGGTAACGCCAATATAGTCGGATGTCGAATCGTTCTAAGAAACAAATATGATGCAGATGGACGTTTGGATAAAAGAAAGGCTCGAATTGGCAAGAGGATTTTCTCAACGACCCGGCATAGATTTTCACGACACCTTTGCACCAGTGGCAAGACTCAGTTCGCTGAGGCTATTGGTCGCCCTATCCGCTGAATATAAAATGTCAATATCACAACTAGACATAGCATCAGCATATCTGCACGGAAATATGGACGTCGACGTACATATGGAAGCGCCGGAGTTTCTGGAAGAAATGCTCATAAGAATCTCCAAGGACGAATCCGCAAAGAAGTTGAAATATAAGGCTGTAAAAATGCTGACGCATTTTCGTCAGGGAGTCGAGTTTGCCTATTAAGGAAGGCGCTATACGGATTACGTCAAGCCGGACGACAGTGGCATTCTAAATTAAAAGAATCACTCGAGAATATTGGACTCACCTCCACAAATGCCGATCCGTGTGTCTACACGAACCTAGATAAGACAATCTTTCTGCTCGTCTACGTAGATGACATTTTGATCGCAACCGGCGATCACAAGAGTAAACAAAGAGTCGTAAACGCCTTGAAAGAAAAATTCGCCATCAAGGATCTCGGAGAGGCGAAATATTGTTTAGGCATCGAGATCATCAGGAATAAAGAGAAGATATTTCTCTCTCAGGCAGGTTACATTCGAAATATATTGGACAGATTCGGAATGACTAACTGCAAGAAGGCATCTACCCCACTATCCAGTGGTTTCAAACCAACAGCAGAGGATCGAGAAAACAAAGACAATACTGCCCCATACAGGGAACTAGTCGGCAGTTTGATGTATCTAGCTATGGCCACCCGACCCGATATAGCTCACGCCGTGAGCGTGCTGAGTCAATTCAATAATCATCACAGCGGAAGAGTTTGGACAGAAGCAAAGCATGTACTTAGATATCTCAAGGATACCTCGAATTTAGCTTTATGTTTCAGATCGACTAAAGGAAGCCTTCTCGGTTTCGTTGACGCGGACTGGGGCAATTGTACAATTGACAGACGATCCTATACTGGGATGGTTTTTGTTCTCGCCGGAGCAGCTATCTCCTGGGAGTCGCATAAACAAAGAACTGTCGCTCTATCTTCAACCGAAGCGGAGTATATGGCGTTAACCGACGCCGCAAAAGAAGCCATATACCTCATAGGGTTCCTAAAGGAGCTCGGACTCGTCGCATTGACCAACATCACTATCTTCAATGACAATCAAGGAGCTGGAGAATTGGCACGTAATCCAGTTTTTCACGGCAGGTCCAAGCACATAGACGTACGTCACCATTTCATTCGAGAGGCAATTAACAACTACACCCTGAAGCTAGAATACATGCTACGGATCAAATGATAGCGGATGTGCTCACTAAGACACTTGGAGCCGGGAACCATAAATCTTGTATCCACGGTATGGGACTCATGTACGTGGATCAAGAAAGGCATTCAAATTGAGGGGGAGTGTTGGGCATTCAATTTGAACTCCCCACCTTTTTGGCCAACCACCACTTGTGCACCCCTGCACGTACTTTATTGTAGGAGGCGCTCTGTGACCACGTTTCCTCCGTACGCCGTCGTAAAGGACGGCGCTCTCCGTTATTACTTTTTAGCCTACAACGTACCGTTCACTTAACGTTTTTTTCGCTCGAAAACTACCTTTGTTCTCACTGTATCATTTTATTAATCAACGAGTCTGTATAAGCTAATTATATCTCCTTTCCAAAACGTGGCACTCTATTCGATTCACGCCCCTTCCCAACAGTTATTATTAATACGAACGTGTGTTTTATATTAATAATGCTATAATTATAATAAAGTGACATAATTTACCTAAAATGTGATTTAAATTCAATATTTGTATATCTGGTAATAACATTTTCCAAATAATCTGTTATTTTTGGTACTATTTTCCTTTCACCTCTATTGTTACCCAGATAGCACAAGACATTCTATGGACATTCATTTTATGTCCATTTTATGTCCGCACGTCCATGGACATAAAATAAACGTCCATCGTACATCCGATTTAAGACATCCGTCAATATTTGGACGTCCACAAGATGTCCGGTCTTGGAGGTTAAAGTTTCTCGCGAGCACACAAGCATGTATTAGTTCGTTCGTTTACCGCGACGTGCGATGCGCTATCTTTCTCGTATTTAATCAGTTATGAGAATTATATAAAGTTTGCAAAAGGTAACAAATAAGATTAAAAATGTATTGTTCAATTTAATTTCTGATCTAAAAGCACGGATTTCGGATATTAAATTGATTTTATAAGTCGGACAAGTAAATGTCCGGTGAATAAACGAAAATAATTTTTCATTATCTATTTAAGATGTAATATGCAAGTATAAATTATAAATAAAATTTTTATATAAAATTTTTATGTAAAATTTTATATAAAATAGATAAATTATATTAATTATTATTTAATGATTGAAATATATATGTTTCGTTTAAAAAATATGATATGTTTAGATCATAAAGGTTGTTCTTTTTTCACACATATAATACACATTTTTTTAAATTATTTATTTTATAATCGTTTTGTGCAATAAAAGTAACATTTAAATAATATGTGATATTGCATTAATGTATTATATGTGATATAAATTTTCTTTAATAAATGTATTACTTAAAAAAATATATATTTCATCTTTTTAATATATAAATTCAAATTTTGTATGTAATCCCTTTTTCATCTCCTTATTAGGTCCATATAAAGTCTGTTTTGTATATCTATTATTGCTAATTTATGTCCATTAGATGTTCATCGGATATCTTTTGGACACGTCAGGGATTAAATTATATCCATCAATTTCATATTTGGATATGCTATGGATATCCACTGTATATTTGAAGAACATAAAACGGACATTTTATGGATATTTTCAATATTCTTGAAGGATATTTGTAGAATATTTTATGGATATCTGTGTGCTGTCTGGGTTATTATCTCTATTTTCGAATAAAATATTTTGTAATTCTTCATTATTATCATCTGAAGAAGAACTAATCGAAGATTCAAAAATGATGTTTTCGAGTAAAATATATTGTTCCATAATAATAATTAGTGTAATTGCAACATTTTCATATATTGTATATACATACGGTACAATACAATCCTAATGATCCCAGTAGGAGAAACGAAACGCAGCACTGGGAGTTTTCAATACTGCCAACTTTATCTTTTTTTCCAACACCGACCAAACATATTTTCGAACGAACTAATAATCATTTTGTGCAATAAAAGTAACATTTAAATAATATGTGATATTGCATTAATGTATAGTATATGATATAAATTTTCTTTAATAAATGTATTGCTTAAAAAAATATATTTCATCTTTTTAATATGTAAATTCAAATTTTATATGTAATCCCTTTTTCATCTCCTTATTACGTCCATATAAAGTCCGTTTTGTATATTTGTTATTGCTAATTTATGTCCATTAGACGTTCATCGGATATCTTTTGGACACGTCAGGGATTAAATTATGTCCACCAATTTCATATTTGGATATGCTATGGATATCCAATGTATATTTGAGGAACATAAAACGGACATTTATGGATTTTTTCAATATCCTTGAAGGAGGATATTTGTAGAATACTTTATGGATATCTGTGTGCTGTCTGGGAGTGAACGTATTTAAATAAATCAGACTCACCTCATGGCAGTAACTGGATACGACGATTCATTATTGGCGTGTCTTGTCAACGGTCGATGTTGTACATTGGAGCGCGGGGAATTGATGACCGATTGTTGTTGTAGTTGATCAGCTTGTTGCTGTTGTCGCCTGAGCTGATAAAGTCGCGGATCGCATATTGGATTCAAAGTCAATTGTCGCTGCAATTTGCGATGCATATTCGCCGGTTCTGGATCCGGATTGTTTACTCTTGACATGGCCCAATTTACTGCGGAGGGATAACCTTTAATAAAAATATATATAAAGCTATTGAACTATTCAAATTTTATCGATGAAATAAAAAAATAAGTAGAGAACAAGTTTTATATTGAACTTTTTAAAATGTTCATTATATATAATTTATGTATATACAAGGGAAATATTGTATATATTTATGTATGTACACAAAGAGTACATCTTATCCTTTAATCCTTTCGTATCCCCAGCTTTCTCAAAAGAAATGTGTTTCATATAAAGACAGTTTTACAGATTTTTGGGAGTGCCGATTCCAAATTTATCATCAAAATTTAAATTCAAAATGGCAGATTCAAGATGACGACAATAAAAAGCTTAAATATATTGCAAATGAGCTTTGATTTTATTTTGATTTTTTTACAAATATATATTATGTTTTTTCTTGAATATACACACACACGTTCGACTTATAGTGTTGTTATACATTTTTTTTTGCAAGCCGCGCATCTGCCGCGAGACTTGGATGTCCGTCGCACGCATTGTCTTACTTTGATTACACATATAAATTATTATAATATTTATTATAATAAAGTTGTAATCACATTTAAATAAAACTTTAAGTTTATAATTAGCGCATAAATTTTATGATTTTTCAATTAATATACGGTTAATCTTTATTCTCTAAAAGTTTGATTTTTTGCAAAGTTTAGATAATTATATTGTACTGTAAACATTATATTTCAAAGTGCGCGATTTTTTTACATATAGCTTGAACCTTCTTCTTTAAAACAAATCAAGATAGAAGTCGATAGGATTATTTGATTAAAAGTTATGAATTTTTTCGTAGGTGGGACATATGTATGTCTTGGAAGTACGAAAGGATTAAATTGAACGTAACTAATAATTCAGAAATTATACATTAAAAACCAAGAAAAATTTTAGGATTTAAAGAAAAATTATGATAGTACTATTGATTTAACCTTGAGATAAGTGTGCTCTTTTTAAAATTAACTGGAATTTTTTAAAGAAAAATTCTTATTTTTTTACTATATGTTTTATAGCTGACATAAAAGCATTTCAAAACACTTTATGATCAAGAAGTCTCTAACAAGTAACACTACCCAAATGTAAATCACCGATTTTGATAATTTTTGAATATGTTGTAGTAGACGTAAAAATAAGACATACGTATTTTTTTTTATCGGCGGAAAACCATATTTACACCCCTTTACACCCCTTTAAATTTATGGGTATCGATTTAATTGTTTTGTATATAAGGATTTAGTATTTTCGGCCCGAACCAAATAAAATAGTTGCATCATCAAGAGATATGAAAAATGGAAAATTTTCGACTCGGTTCGATCATTTTTAGGGGGTAAACCACCCCCTGTATTTGAAACAAAAATTTTAAAAATGCCCAGATAATTGCAAATTTTATTCAAAAATTTTTAAAAAAATATATGTTACACTCGCATCCAAAACAAAAGTGAGACTGTTTGAGGATTTAAGGGTGACCACCCTTTTATCGAATTTCTTACGTAACATTTAAATTTATTCCGAAATAATGGTAAACAGTTTCATTTATCGTCAAATTAATTAATATTTACAAATTATAGTCTGATCAACCCTTCAATTCTATAAGGGGTGAGGAAAAACCTACCCTTAATAAGAGTAAGAAACCAGGATCGCGGCTCTTAGCATTACCCAGGATCACGACGGGGACGTGGCCGCGTGGATCCCATTTTATTTTATTTTTTTGGTTTTTTTGGTTTTTTGTTTTTTTTATTTGTTTATTGTTTTGTAATTTTTTTGTGTTTTTATTTGTATGTTGTTTTTTAATTTTTATATTTGTATTTTAACAATTAAAAAAAATTAAATTAATTAAACGTTACATTATAACTAACTTTAGTAATATTAATTAATGGCTATTCTTTATAGTCTTTACAATAATGAGGGACGCTTTGATTGCTGGGATCAAAAAAATGAGTAAAACATATATAATGTGTACACCAAGCGCACCTAATTAAAGCATTATCTTCACAATACTTGCAAGATGTATCACAATTTTCAAAACAGTATCGGACAGGAGTTTTGCATTTAGGTGGTTTTTCTTGAATATACCCACTTTTATACCATGCATATTTAAACATGTTTACAAACCTGGCTGAAGAAAACTGGTTATGAATCAGCGACTGAAGTTTTAATACATTGTTTCTTGCATGTAAATTGACATCAAAGCCATACAAAATTACCAGATCTGAAAAATGTTTTAAAAAATTTTTCCATGGTCTGAATCCATAAACATCTAGGGGTTGAATCATACCAGTTGTCCCAGCAGGAATTGTACAAATATTGACATCTTTGCCTTCTAGACAAACGTTGTCAAAATTTTTCTTTGTTTGTCCTGTCCACGAATCTAAACATAAAACCGATTGTTTATCAACCACAGATAAGTAAATATCTTTGTACCATTGAACTGCCAGGTCAGATGATAATTTCCCAGATTTTGAAGGTACTACGACAATATTTTCTGCTTTATATATGTTCATTTCAACAACAGGTCCAAACTGCCCACCCGTTTCTTGTAAAACAATAAATAAAGGCGACTTGAGTAATCCACTAGCTGATACAATCGGTTGTATGGTATAGCTATGTGTTAATGAATTCTTCGATTGTGTTAAACATTCAACTTTTGCTGTTCCTTTGAAAGATAATGTTCGTCCTGCATGTGATTCATAATTAAAACCAAACTGATCTGAATTATAAACATTGTCAGCTCCTAATAATGAGATTTGCTCCCTAATTTTGGATACAAATTGATTTGCTTCTTGTACTAAATCATCTTTCTTTGATAAGAGCGTTTGGGTAGTGAATTTATTAATTTTTCTGGATACGATTCCGTGTTTTATTTTAAAATTGTGAATCCACTTTGATGAAGCCGTGAAAAATTCTCGAGGTAGTTGTACTTCATTTCTTGCATTTAAAGCCCATCTCTTAATATCAATATCATGAATTGGTATTGACTTCAAATGTGCATTTTGAAACTGTTTCATGACATATTTGCTAATTTCCAATAATTTCTCGTTTCTTGTGCCACCTTCTTTTACTTGCTTTTCCCATCTATATAACATTGTAATATTTTGAACTTTTTTAAATTTACTTTGTACACATTCAAATTTTAAATTTTTTTTTGTACCAGAATGCCAATATTGAACAGCTTTTTCTTTATATTCGAAATCTATCATGTTTTTAACTTTTTTATTATCATTAATAATAGCGTTATAATCATCTTGGAAATCTTCTTCAATTGCATGGATTTCAGGAAGCGCAGTATTATCTTCGTAACATAAAGTAGTATAACTTTCAAATATCAAGGCAAAATCAATGGAGTCTTTAATTATATTCTCCAATTGTGACGCAAAAGCTCTCTCATCATCATTAATAGCTGAATCAATATTATATTGTGGATAATTAAAAGCTTCTTGTAACAATTTTAAAATGTTTCTTACATTCATCGTCATTTTTTTGTATACGTATTCGGTATAAAAATACGTAATTGGTGAGCTTAAGGTGTTTACTGATTTTTAAATTAATTTAATCGAGATTAGAACACCGTTGAAACCCTTAACGATCAACGCGATTGTCCGAGAAACTTTCTTCTTTGAAATATGGACTGCAGGATGTGAATGTGAATGTGAGAAATGGGCCCCGGAGCATCTCATGTAAACAAAAGCCGCGAGCTAACAATAAGGAGTGAGGAGCGCTCGCCTGGCGACGGAGGCATTCATATTTCAAAGAAGAAAGTTTCTCGGCTTCATCAAAGTGGATTCACAATTTTAAAATAAAACACGGAATCGTATCCAGAAAAATTAATAAATTCACTACCCAAACGCTCTTATCAAAGAAAGATGATTTAGTACAAGAAGCAAATCAATTTGTATCCAAAATTAGGGAGCAAATCTCATTATTAGGAGCTGACAATGTTTATAATTCAGATCAGTCTGGTTTTAATTATGAATCACATGCAGGACGAACATTATCTTTCAAAGGAACAGCAAAAGTTGAATGTTTAACACAATCGAAGAATTCATTAACACATAGCTATACCATACAACCGATTGTATCAGCTAGTGGATTACTCAAGTCGCCTTTATTTATTGTTTTACAAGAAACGGGTGGGCAGTTTGGACCTGTTGTTGAAATGAACATATATAAAGCAGAAAATATTGTCGTAGTACCTTCAAAATCTGGGAAATTATCATCTGACCTGGCAGTTCAATGGTACAAAGATATTTACTTATCTGTGGTTGATAAACAATCGGTTTTATGTTTAGATTCGTGGACAGGACAAACAAAGAAAAATTTTGACAACGTTTGTCTAGAAGGCAAAGATGTCAATATTTGTACAATTCCTGCTGGGACAACTGGTATGATTCAACCCCTAGATGTTTATGGATTCAGACCATGGAAAAATTTTTTAAAACATTTTTCAGATCTGGTAATTTTGTATGGCTTTGATGTCAATTTACATGCAAGAAACAATGTATTAAAACTTCAGTCGCTGATTCATAACCAGTTTTCTTCAGCCAGGTTTGTAAACATGTTTAAATATGCATGGTATAAAAGTGGGTATATTCAAGAAAAACCACCTAAATGCAAGACTCCTGTCCGATACTGTTTTGAAAATTGTGATACATCTTGCAAGTATTGTGAAGATAATGCTTTAATTAGGTGCGCTTGGTGTACACATTATATATGTTTTACTCATTTTTTTGATCCCAGCAATCAAAGCGTCCCTCATTATTGTAAAGACTATAAAGAATAGCCATTAATTAATATTACTAAAGTTAGTTATAATGTAACGTTTAATTAATTTAATTTTTTTTAATTGTTAAAATACAAATATAAAAATTAAAAAACAACATACAAATAAAAACACAAAAAAATTACAAAACAATAAACAAATAAAAAAAACAAAAAACCAAAAAAACCAAAAAAATAAAATAAAATGGGATCCACGCGGCCACGTCCCCGTCGTGATCCTGGGTAATGCTAAGAGCCGCGATCCTGGTTTCTTACTCTTATTAAGGGTAGGTTTTTCCTCACCCCTTATAGAATTGAAGGGTTGATCAGACTATAATTTGTAAATATTAATTAATTTGACGATAAATGAAACTGTTTACCATTATTTCGGAATAAATTTAAATGTTACGTAAGAAATTCGATAAAAGGGTGGTCACCCTTAAATCCTCAAACAGTCTCACTTTTGTTTTGGATGCGAGTGTAACATATATTTTTTTAAAAATTTTTGAATAAAATTTGCAATTATCTGGGCATTTTTAAAATTTTTGTTTCAAATACAGGGGGTGGTTTACCCCCTAAAAATGATCGAACCGAGTCGAAAATTTTCCATTTTTCATATCTCTTGATGATGCAACTATTTTATTTGGTTCGGGCCGAAAATACTAAATCCTTATATACAAAACAATTAAATCGATACCCATAAATTTAAAGGGGTGTAAAGGGGTGTAAATATGGTTTTCCGCCGATAAAAAAAAATACGTATGTCTTATTTTTACGTCTACTACAACATATTCAAAAATTATCAAAATCGGTGATTTACATTTGGGTAGTGTTACTTGTAAGTTATAAGTTTTTACAGTTTGAATACTACTATTAGCTATTACTAGTATTAGCTTTAAAAAGATTATTACTTTGAAGATTCTGCGTAAGAGGCATCTGTTGATTGTACATGACTGGACTAGTTGATGAAAACAAGTCAGATGTGACATTCTCCACAGATCTACTCTTCGGCGACAAGGATTGAACAACAGTTGGCGGTATAGCAGATCTAGCTTTACAGAGTGATAGATGTTGTGAAGATACAGACGCAGTTATAGATGGTAATGGTAAACTCAAACTAGGTCCACGAGCCTGTAGATGACGCTGAGCATGCTCTACTAATCGTTCCGTCACAGATTTATGTGGATGTGGTCCTCTCTCGGGATGCCAGAATTTACATTTATTGCCATATGTACATTTCTAAAAAGTAGACATTTAATGTAATTTAATTTTATAAATGTGTTTGATAATGTAATTTAATTTAATATATTGTTGTGTCCTTAGATTCCTGTGCGGTTTGATGCCGCTTATTGCGGTTAAAAGAAAATTAAATTAGGAAATCGTCTCCTGAAACGTTATCATGGAGTTACGAATAACCATAAAGTTATATCTAGCTGTCAATCTAGACTTATTGGACAGCTCTGCGTTATTATTTATTGTATTAATTGTGTTCATTTGAACTGAGTTTATTTAATTGAAGTTCTTTAATTACGTTTAGTACGTTTATTTCTCGTAAGTAGGTATTTAATTAGTGAGTTGACAGTTTCCGCGCGAGCGAATCTGTTAGTGCCGTGTGAAAAATCTCAATACCTTGAACGCAACAATATGAAGAAAATTTCTTATATATAGCGCTTAAATGTAATGAACATTTTATATCAAGCAGACTCTTCTTTTCGCAACGATCATGAAAATCAGCAAAAATTTGTTGAAGTGATACTTCTGTGATGTAGTCATTATGTGCTGAGCCATTACCTGAAATATCGCACAATTGCTTATCTACAGATTGTAAACAGTTTATGCAGGTAGATGTATAGAGTTTTCTGAGAGGGATAACTTTCATAACAGGATATTCTTGTGATTATTGTAGATAAATACGAATTCATATAGAGTTTCTACTGTTCTTTAATGCTATCTACTATAGCAACAGCAATCAATTCAATCGAATTGCATTACACATCACTTGCAATATTTCTTGCGAATTATTTTCGTTTATACTTCACAATATTTGGTGCTACAATCCATTCCATTTACTAAATCATTGCAAGAAATACAGTTTATGTTGCTTATTTTCTTCAAGGTTGCAGAAATTGTCTATATCTTTTGCCATAATTTTGTAGATGGAACGGTTACAACAATTCTTGAAATATGTCATTGCATCAGTATAAACAAAAACATGAATTCTTAGCAAAGAAAGTAATGCATGATGCGGAATGATCAAAGCTATTGCTGTTACTATGATAGCATTTTAAGTTTCCAAAGAATGCGGTGGGCACAATGAAGTCCACTTGAATTCTTCTTATCACGACAGCACTGCGCCAGGTTTGCTTCGCACGGGGGCCACGCATCGTGCTCGGCATTCGATCTTGTGCAGCTCCCATACGGATTGCGTGCTTATCTTGAATCATAATCTATCATTTCTTTAAAGCCTCTTTAAACAAAATTAAACAGGCTTTAATTTCAGACGTGTTTAAAAAAAAATTGATCATATTCAGTAAGGATAAGGATGTATATGGGAGAAGGTTAGGTGTGTCTATTATTGCGCACAACTATTTCGATCAACGACAAAATCCATCCGTGGCAACAGCGTTGACGTATCTTGTGAAGAAAGCATTCACAAACTTTTCAGCCCAACGAATAATTGCTAAAAAACAATATTCGTGAACTAGAAAAAATGTGAGGTGCAAGTGACTGAATCGGGAATCGAACCCGAGTCTTTCGCTTTCCGGGCAACTGCTCACTGAGCTAGACTTCACATCTAATACCGCTATTTAATACAGTGATATATATATATATATATATATATATATATATATATATATATTGTTACGCCCGCGGTGAGGACTTCGATTAATATCGAAGACGCGCGCGAAGAGATCGGCCGCTCGCGAGTCGCGCGAAATGAATAGACACTTTTAAAAGGAACTTGGAACTTTAATACACAACACCACAACACAGAACACTACAAACGGTAACACAGAACGTTAGCACAATATTAGTAATCCGGCTCGGCACGATACAGAAACGCGTCCGCGCAGCTTGACAGCTGGAACCGAACTCAGATGACAGACGCTGCTGTCAACAATCTCTTGACAACGCGCTTCTTCTCGTTAATCGGCGCCGTCCCGATGAACACGGACATCAGGGCCGTAACACTTGCCCCCTCCTTATTAAATTGTCGTCCCGACAATTAAAGACAGGAGGACTTTTCAAAATTTTCACGAATTGTCGAGCTCCGTTGTGTCCTCTTGTCCTACTCTGAGCTGCTGCTACAGATTACCGGACGGCACATTTCCTCTTGAGCTCTGTTGTGTCCTCTTGTTCTACTCTGAGCTGCTGCTGCAGATTACCGGACGACACATTTCCATTTTCTCAATCGACTTTCCCAGAGCTTTCCCTGACGAATGGAATTCCCGCTGCATTTTCTCGTCCTACCCTGCGCTGCTGCCACAGGTTACCGGACAATGCATCCTCTTGGGTTCCATCGAAGCTCAGAAACATAACCCGATGCGGGATCTTCGGACGAGAGGGGGGTAACCACCGTGGACCCAACATCCACGAAGGACTCCTCAAGTCCCTGCCTCGGCATTCGCCCTATGGCCCACGGAAAAACCACGGCTCAAAAACCGTGGGCAAGGCAGCACTTCAAGAAAATTTTCTTTTTCCTTTTTCTTTTTCCAGAGGTTGTCAAATCCTTAGATATTATCCTGTCTTTAAAAGAAAACAAAGAAGGCAGCAGTATTTGTAATAAAATCTAGTTAAGTAGTAATTATTTACAAAAGGTTGGGCTCCGAAATTTCCTCAATTAAAAACCTGCCTATGATAGAAAGGAGCTAACCTATCAGCATGAACTATTTTTTGTCTATGTCTATTAGATTTTCGAATCGCAAAAACTACATCATTAAGTTTCTTCACTATACGATAAGGACCCTCCCAGTTACTTTGTAATTTAGGAGTCCTTCCAAACGATCTTCGGGGATTGAAGAACCAAACATCCTGACCTACTTCGAAGAGAATTTGTCTAGCTTTACGATCATAACGAACTTTAGACCGCAAAGATTGTAAATTTATGCGTTGTCTAGCATATTCGTGGATATTCTGCATTTTTTCCTTTAAACTTTGGATATAACTCCCAATCGAAACCCTCCTATCTTCCTGGGGGGGACTTCCTCGCAGTAGATCCAAAGGTAAAGTTAAGTCACGGGCGAAATACATTTCCGCAGGGGAAAAACACCCGTGGCCTCATGTTTTGAAGATCGATGAGCCAATAAAAACATAGGAATCCAACTATCCCAATCTTTTTGATTTTCTGCAACAAATTTAGCTAAATAATTTAAAATCGTCTGATAATGACGTTCAACTTGTCCATTAGACTGTGGATGTAAAGCAGTAGTCCTAGTTTTCCTAATCCCTAACTGGCGTGTCACCTCCTGAAAAATCTTTGATTCAAAGTTTTTACCCTGATCGGTATGTATCTCCGAAGGAACTCCATGACGGGAAACTATCTGACTCACAAAAGCCTCCGCTACCGTATTAGCTTTAATATTCTTTAATGGAAGAGCCTCAACCCATTTCGTGAAACAATCGACCGTAACCTACAAGTATCGATTTCCATTTGAAGTAGGAAGAGGACCGAGAATATCCATTTGGACCCTTTCAAATGGAGCCCCTACATTATAAACTTGCATTGGAGATTTCCCCTTCTCCGAAGGACCCTTTTTCGCTACACAAATTCCACAAGAACGGCACCAGTCCTCCACATCATGTTTGCACGTAGCCCAATAGAAACGTTTCCGAATCTTATCTAGTGTTTTATTCACTCCAAAATGTCCGCCTGTAGCAGAATCGTGGGCAAGTTCTAGTATTCGACTGATGCAACTCCTGGGAACAATAATCTGAAGAACGAAAGATTTCAAATTCCGAGACTCCCATCTCTTGAAAAGAACACCATTTTCTAAAATTAAGGAATCCCAATACGACCAGTAAATTTTTGCCGAAACATCTTGCAAAGAAACTTCCTCGTGAAGTGGACGTCTTCCTGATTCCTTAGCTCGAAGAAATAATGAAATTACAGGGTCTTCTAATTGTTTTCTGCGCCAATCCTCCAAGTTTTCCTCCTCCAAGACTATACGGGCCACTGAATTTTCTTTAGACTCAGCTTTAGCACAGTAAGCACAGCTCTTTTCCGCACAAGGTCGTCTCGACAACCCATCAGCATTTTGATGCAGACGCCCTTTTCGATGGATTATCTCAAACTCAAACTGTTGTAATCTTTCAAGCCACCGGGCTAGCTGACCCTCCAGATCTTTAAAAGACATTAACCAGCAAAGAGAAATATGATCTGTACGAATCAGGAACTTCCTTCCATATAAATAATAATAAAAAGATTTGAGCGATTCCACAATGGCCAAAAGTTCTCGACGGGTCACACAGTAATTCTTCTCAGCTTTACTAAGGACTCGGCTATAATACGCAATCACCTTCTCCGAGCCGTCCTGAATCTGAGATAAAACTGCTCCGATTCCATGATTCGAAGCATCAGTATCTAGAATGAACTCTCCAAGCTGAGTGGGAAAAGAAAGGATCGGTGAAGAAATCAACTTACACTTCAACTCCTGGAATGCTTCCTGACACGCCTGGGTCCATTCAAATTTATATTGATTTTCAGTAAGTAAAAACAGAGGTTTTGCTATCAAGCAGAAAAACCTTTAACGAATTTCCTATAGTAGGAACAAAATCCCAGAAAACTACGAACTTGCTTTTTATTCTGAGGAATAGGCCAATTTTCTACCGCCGAAATTTTCTCGGGGTCCGTAGCAACACCTTGTCCAGAAACAACATGTCCCAAATACTTTACCCTTCTACTAAAGAGGGAACACTTTTTAGGATTGATTCTCAGGCCCGCTGAACGAAAGCGAAGAAAAACCTCCCTTAGATTCGATAGCATCTCTTCAAAAGTTTTACTGAAAACAATAATATCGTCCAGATATACTAAACAAATTTTAAACAGGATATTCTGCAACACTTTTTCCATTAAACGCTCAAAGGTTGCTGGAGCATTACATAACCCGAAAGGCATTACCTTGAATTGCCATAATCCATTTCCTACGGAAAACGCTGTCTTTCCCCTATCCAAAGGATGAACTTTTACCTGCCAATATCCACTTTTCAGGTCTAGGGTCGAAAACCAAGAATTTTCAGAC